TAATTTTGTTCTTTGACAAAGGAAACCAACCATTTCATGCATTGTACTAAAAGAAAAGGCAATTTATAGCAGAATTAAAGAGAACCAATATCATCCATTATTCTGCTGGTGACTCGTCCAAGTGGCCAAAGTTCATAGATTAGTACAGCTGTGACACAAACACAGCCCACCTGGGCTTAGGAAAGCTGCAGGCAAGAAGCCCTGGTAGAATCCACAGTTTGGGGCTCTAGGCAGGGTGGGGGGTTCCTGAGCCCCACAGACCTGTTTGGAGTCGGGGGTCCGCAGGTTCAGGCTGGCAGTGGAGATGGTCAGAGAGATACTCATCCCCGCAAACTGGAGGTTGCTCTTCCCCAAGATGCTGGACAGCATTTTGCTGGGAGGCTGTAAAATCAAAGAGCATTACTTTAGCCTTTTATTTTATGGAGGCCACATCTTCCAGGGCCTCTTTATTCCTGTCTAAAAGGGTGGGGATTCAAATGCCTGCCACACCCTCAAATCCTTATAGTCTGCTCTCAGGCACAGGAAGGCAAGTGTGAAATGAAAGAGCTGTAAGGATGGGGTCAGAGGCTAATATGCAAATTCTCAAATATGCAAATCATCAGCAGATAATCTAATATGCAAATACTGAGATGAAGACTCTCTCAGGCTGCCTTTGGTCATATAAGGACCGGCCTCATGGGGTCCCTTGTGTGTAAACCTGGGGAAAGCGCCACAAGCTTTTGTAGACTCAGAAACCTGGTTTCATAACAACAAAGGCCATGGGGGCTTATGAGCATCACAGAGTTGTGAGAACGCTAGTGGCTGAAGGGAATGGACCGCAAATCCTTTGACTCAAGCATCCTCCTGTCAGGGCCTTTGTGGATGGTTCAATTAGAATCTGATGAGTTTGGAGCCAGCACAAGGATGGCAGACATAGTCTGACTCTCCCTGGGGTTCAGAAATGTCCTTGGCACAGGGACAGGTAGACAGCATTTTCCAGGCAGGCATCTTTTCACCATACCTGGAGGGGCACTGCGGGCACTTGCCTCCCTGTCCATCCTTTCTTTTTGTATGAGAACATTCTCTTTTGATATGCTAATTTTTAATCTCCAGAGGAGCTATTGTATTTAAAAATAGAGATGTCCAGGCCCCACCCGTGAATTCATGAAAAAAAAAAAATTAAAAGATAATAGGATTCCTTCCATGAACTTTTCCAAGTACTCTCAGATCTGGGGTGGAGCCCAGAAATCGGCATTGTTTCCATCACTTCCACCTGGCTCTGAAAGATGAGGTTCACCGTCTCTGTTCTCAGACTGCTTCCTCGTTCCACATTCAAGATTTGGGAGCCTAGCGGTCTGCAATAACCCCTGTGATGACCAGAACATAAGCCAGTGCATCTGAGCCTTCATTCAAAGTTTTCTACCTGA